CAGTGTGTATCTGTTTCTCAATATGTATTTCTTTTCGTCTTGTTGAAAATCAAATGTGGTAAAAAGCTAAAGAAGAAAAATCAAAATAATATGGTCAACTTTTTTTTCTTCCCCTCATTTTCCTCCTCTTCTAACATCTTCATTTTCTTGACTTTTAAAGCTTACAGCTCTGAAACCACCAGCATTTCTCTTTTTTCTTTTTATTAAAATAAGATTTTCAACGAAAAATGTGCTACAATTATGCACACATAAATACATGTATGAAAATTAAACTAATCGAATAGAAACAACAACAACAACTAAATCAAACGGATAAAGAGACGTAGAAAAAAAGAGTAATTTTTAATTTAAAAAAAAACTACCTGAAGAAGGAGAGTTACGTTTGATAAATTGCAGAACGTATGAAGGGAAAAAAAAAGAAAAATAACGTAATCGAACGACCGAGAAGGCAGCAAAGTTGCTGCTATTGCTCTTGCCTACGACACTGATCTTGCTCATGCTCTTTCTGCTGCCTACTGATGACGATTTTCTAATGAAGATGAAGACTGACTGACTGAATGTGCTGATGGAGACCAGTTCTTTCTAGTTTTTGTTTCTTTTTTGTTTCTACTCTACTGTTTGTTGAATCACGAGGTGAGGAACAAAAGATATAGCACCATATTTCAATAACCAGAAAAAAAAAAACGATTTGTTTCATTTTTTTTTTTTTTTAAATCCAAGCCATCATTTAGCAGCTATTCTATGAAGTGACAAAAACAACAGGGCAAAGAAAAAAAAAACGACGGAAACAGCGCAAATGAAACTTCACAAAAAAAAAGAGGAAAAAAAACGTTCACGAATAAAAATAACGTTAAGCGCTCAAGCGAGTTCATCATCTTACTGCGACTTTCGAAACCAATATGCATTAAAAAGCAACATTATTAACCTGATATTAGTAAACTGACGCAGAATACGGAGATAAAAAATTTGAGAAATGATACACATATATGCACGCATAAAATACCCATTAATAGATTTGCGTCTACCTATCTTATCTGTATCTTGTGACATATATATATATA